GATTATTAACGTTGATGAATTTATAGACGAGCGACATACGCTCGTGACGTATATTGAGTAATATCGCTCCGTGCATCAAGGCCGAAAACAGTGCGGTCGTCCCTACCTTGCCCTATAATCGCGCATGCATTATGGGAAACTTTGAGGTCAGTCACCTCTCGGCAAAGTGTATGTGTTTCGTCGTCGCCTTTACTCACTCGCGGCGGGTTTCGCGCGGGCTCGCATGCTCCGCTCAATAACGAATTCGCCGGTTCGTCGCGCGAATACGTGCCGCTAATTGACATAATTGCCCGCAACAAATATTCGCGTGGGCCACCGGAAAAGTTTCGCCCGTCTATTATTGGCGAACTGATGTTTTCACGACGCTCACCCTACTGTTTTCTTGTCTTCTTTATCGCGTAATGTAATGTAATCATTACGGAAATACCGCGCGGCTGTTGTTGATATATATGCATACATCATTAAAAAGGAGTTCGCGCTTCTAGAATAGTCTTGTGTATTTCTATCCTGAACGCGATAATCGCGCAACACGTGTCTCTCTCTCCGTCGTTTTACTCGGAATATTATCGCAAATTCTCGCGAAAGTCGGGCGATAATCGGACGAAAATCCGCGTCTGCGTCGTTCGATATTTCGTGAACTTCGGGCCGCGAACCTATATAATACTACGACCGGATATTTCCGCGATATACGCGCTAAAATTTAATGCACGTGGCGGATATACGTATGGCGTGAGCGCGGGCGGATTTCGCTCTGTCGTGGAACAAGGTTTTCTCTATCTCTTTCTCCCGCGGCCGCCCCTGTGAGTGCAATCTTATCGTGGAGCAGCTCGCTGCACTCTCTCGTCGTGGCTGCAGAGGAGCGCGGCGGAGTCAACGAACGATAAAAAAAAGCACGAAGAATAAACTCCGTTCCCCCCTCTCCCCGTTCAGAGCGCGCGCTCTTCCTTTTCTCGCACAAGGGGAGCTCTCTACTCCTTGCCGTCCGCGTGTTGCAACCTCTCGGCCGTGTGTGGGCGCGAATGCAGCTCTCCTCCGTCCTCTCTTTCCCTCTTTCTTTCTTTCTTTTTCTCTCTTTCTTTGCTGCGCGTTCTCCCCGCGCTTCTCACCGCCCCCGCGGCCTCGCGCCGTCGTTGCCGCTTCTCTTCCCTCTTTTTCTCGTGGTTTGTTTGGGGTAGGTCATGGCGAAGCCGCATACGAAAGACGGGGGAACGGGAAAAGTGAGAGAGAAGAGAGAGAGAGAGAGGAAAGAACCGTACGCGTCTTCCACCTTTCTCCGTCTCCGTAAACGACTCTTTGTACTAATCATGCAATTTTGACATGTCATTTGCGAACGGTAGCCGCGCTTTGATGCTGCTTGTTCGCGGAATGTATACCCACATGGTCTCGATTACTCGCGGAAACGGAATGGAGAGTCATTAGGGGCTGCATATCGTCATTTCAACGTGAAGATTCCTCGTCAGTATTATATCGCTTTGCTATTTTACGATGCTTTTTCCATTTAGTTATTAAATACAGGATCTCTCATTTTTACGCGACGTTGTTTTTCCGACTTAATATTTTATTAAGATGCACAAAATAGTATCTCAAGAAGTTGTTCCCGAAGTTGTTACTTTTAGACGATGTTTTCGTAAGAAACGACGTTTTCCTCTCTTCTTCTCGAGAAAATTAGATTTCTGAAACAAATCTCCATCGCCATTATCACCCACCAGCGCGTTCTCTCTTCCACATCAGATTCACCGACTTTCACGAGCGATCGAACGCATTCGATTAGGCCGATTTCGAAGAGGCCGCGGATGCACGCGCGTTATTGTTGTCGATCATGCGATCCGAAAATCATAGAAAATTACTGAAAAGCTAAGAAACTCCGTGACGATCCGCTTGGGACCGAGCGAAAGGGGGTGAAATGAGGGAGGGGAGGGCACCCCTCGTCTTGAGACGTAATTCTGTCTTTGCCGTAACGGCTATCCGACACGGAACTTGACCCCCTTCCCTCCTCCCCCTCCCGCTCCATCCGCCCTTTCAGTTTTCTTCCTCGACTTGAAACAGAGCAACCCCACTCCCTCCACCTCCCTCTGCCTTTCCCCGGTAACCAGAAGGGTTACTCACTGAGAGGGAGAAAGAGCGGTGAAACAATGACACGCGCGCGAGAACCGTTATTTAAATAGTACACGGGAACCTTCCGGGCAAGAGGAGGAAAAAAAAGGCTCGCGCTTCTCTAAGGGAAGGACGCAACGTGAGAAAGACTCCTCGAGATTTGCATGCCGGAGCGAGATGTATCCGCGCTGTACAAATAGATAATGTACGGTTTTTTTTTTTGTTTTTTGCTATCGCTGGCAAGAGAAGCGAGAGGATTCATTCATTATTTGATCGTTTTCCATCGCGTCGCGCTCAACTATTAAATCATATCATATATTGTACTTTGTAATTATCGTTACGCTTCGTGCTCTTGCATTTTATTAATTTTCTTTGTTACATTTTAAAATAATTAGAAACCTGTCTCTCGATCTTGTAGCAATCGAAAGTGAGAAATTAAATTTCCATGACTTTTTTATTTTCTATTTTTTTTATTTAATTAAAAGTTTAATTAATTTATATACATTAAAAAAAGGTTTTCGAGCATAAAAATTGATACAAGCTCGTGTTACACCGACAGGTTTTCATATATATTGAGATAATGATAATACGTCATTATTTACATTCGTTGGAAAGCAACTCGATTTCTTTCGAATTTTCCTTTCCTCTGGCTACTTTCCCATCCTCTCCTTTCTTACGGTTCTGGTTTCTCCTAGCAGCTGTCAGCTCGATTCGAGATCGTAGTCCCGGATCGATCAAGGGTGAATCGTGGTCTGGATGCAACTTAGTAATGGTCGTTGCGTCGAACGAACCGGTTTAACGCGCGTTGAAAGAGCGAATTGGGGAGAAGCATGGACAAAAAATTCATTTGAATCGGCCGACCCGGCTCGAGCAGAGGCGTCGAAATAATTGGATTTTAATTTTCGAGGTAGCGCGAGATAGAACCAAAAAAACGCGGGTGCACCCCCGGCCCTGAGAACGGTTCTCCGCGAATGTTTATGTAATATCGCGACGCACTCGTCTCGTCCTCTCTACGTCCGCGGAACCCTTCATCTTTCCCACGAGCTCACAATGAATCCTCAAGTGTTTCGAAATTTTTTTATCAGAGTCGCACCATTGTTGGAGACAACGACTGAACGCACTCACGTATTATTCTTATCAATTCTTAATTAAATAATTCAATTTAATTAAATGTGATTAAAAAGATTGTACGATTATATAAATATTAATTAAAACACACGTGGCTTCTTTCGAGATTTTTTTCAGACTGTCATTGTAGTTTCGAATCGATATAACATAAATACGCGCAACAATTTTTTTTTATATTATACATATTTTTTATATTTTATGTTTTTATATTTTTTATATTTTGCATTTTTATATTTTTTATATTTTGCATTTTTATTATATTTTTTGTATTTTTATATTTTTTATACTTTGTAAGATCGATTCCGCAAAATCAAGTAAAACTCGTAAAATAAACCTCAATATTTAAGCATTAAGAATCAAGTCCGTCCTATCGAAAGTACTCATATCAGTCCTCGTTGCTTGGACAGAATGAAAGGACGATGGCTCGCTTCGACGGTTCGGTCCACGAACGGTGCGTGGGGACGGCACAAAGGAGGCGAATGTTTTAATTAAATCTCGGGGAAACGTGGAAACTTCGCCATCGCTCGGCGTTTTTGCGATTTTCCGAAAGTTTCGCTTCGCGCGCGCAGCGCGGGACGGCTTTTAAGGTGGCGATGGAAGAAAAGGAAGGACGAGATGGAACACGGGCGGGAGGACGAGGTGCTCGAGCAACCCCCTCTTGCACCCCCATCGCCTCCTTCCACCACCTCCTGTTACCTTTTCCATCGTCACTTCAACCGCCGGTGCTATCGCCGCTAAAATAAAAGAAGCCGCAAAAACAAAAGAGCTCTGCGGCTACTTAACGAAACAAATTGTTGTTACGTCCTGGGGGGTTGAGAATTTTAAAGTTTCCAGCAGGAAGGAGAAAGTATCCTGCCTTTTTACCGCGCTGTTCTCTCTTTTCCGGGACCTCACGCTCCGTTCATCAGTCGACAGAGTTTAACGTAATTCGGGGCTCGTTAGTGCCGCTTTCTTTTCTTGTACTTTCTTGTGCTCGCGATGTTGGCGTAAAGTCGCGCGAGGAAGCAGCGTACGCATTTTCCGTCCACGATTGTACGATACAAGTTGATCGGATACAATTAGTCAGTCGACCGAAAAATTGCCGCTTTATCGATGTACTTTCTCGTCGCGTGCGTGACACAAGCGCTAAACGTTATGATGCGGAACGCACATTTCGCCGCATACCACGCGTCATCCGTTAAATCTCTAGTATGATGTAACGACACGCTCGTTAGTATACGAGCGCGAGTGAGAACGAGGATCGTTCGAACCGCCGCTGGCGGTCAGCTACGAGTAAGTAAGGCTATTTCACAATGCACAGGAACAAGGCGATACATTCAGCCGATGAGATACAAAAACGAACGGCGATACACATATACGACACATGCCAGTGGATAAAGAGACAAAAAAAAATAAGACAACATCAAAATTAATGATGAACAGATATAAATGAGCAAAGCAATCGAGATGCAAAACGTAACAAGAACAATCGCGAGACGTTCCAGAGGAATTCGCGCGGAAGCGAAATCATAATCGGGCAGAATATAGCGAACTGAATGGTGCTGGAATGTCGATAAATGAAAGAAAAATAATGTCAATGAGCGAGACGAGACGCAGCGCGTCGTCTGCGACGTGCAGGATCGACAAGTTAAATGAAACGTAAAAGAAAAAATAAAAAACGGCTGCGAGACAAAACTTCGGCCGTCGGTGAGAGAAAGCGGCGAGGGAACTTAAGGTATGGATGCAAGGGAGAGCATTAATAAAAAGGATTTTGTGAACGGGCTGAGTGTTCAACTCACTCGCTGCAGGGTAGACCAGCATTCCTCGAGGGTGCGTTCGCTGATGTTGCCCATTCCTCCACCACCGCCGGCACCTACTGCACCTCCAAGCCCCGCCGCAGAGGCACGAGACTATCAGGCAAGATAGGACAGCTCATGTTAGTCCCCGATCCTCACGTCGTTCTTTACGACGCTACTAACTTTCGTCACTACTACAAAGTTTCTTTTAAAAAACAAGCGCGTTCTGCCTTGGCAGTGACAAGCTGCGATGACGGAATGAGAGTATTTCTATCTCGTGCGGACACGTAGTTAGTTAGTCGTGAAGTCGCTCGATCACATATAAATTAATAATATCGGTATTCGCAATAATAATTACTCGTTAATGCTAAACAAGATTCTTACGATAGCATTCGCAGTGTCTTCGAGTATATCTTATCACGCGACTATAGCGTTAGGTTCTCTCCGTTTTTCTCATGAACGATATTTATAGTCTCTCTAATTACAAATCACCGATGCTCACAGACTTGTTTAACGCGATCTCAAAGTTCCGCTATCTGTCGGGAGATACGATGTGTAATTTTTCTCTTCTCTCTCTCTCTCTCTCTCTCTCTCTCTCTCTCTCATACTCTTTCGCATTCTCTCTTACATTCTCACGCTCTCCTTTCTCTCTCTTTCTCTCATCGAAACTCCGCGGCCCATGCCGTCGCAGAAACACGGCGATATTTTCTTGGTAACATCTTCTCGGCGTACCGTATGACGTATGCGTATGGTATTATCTGTGTTGTGCGGGTCAAGAACCCCGGGAGACGACGTATCTGCATCTCCCCGCATTGGTGTGCGTGGGCCGCGTTCGCATTTGCGGACCGCACTGCTACTTTAACGTGTGCGTGCTTTCTCGGTCTCTCTCTCCCTCCCTTCCTCTCCCTCTCTTTCTCTCCCACTCACTCACTCGCTCACTCACTCTCACTCTCTCCCTGTTGCTCACACTCTCACTCGCAAATTCTCTCCCCCTCTCTCTCTCTCTCTCTCTCTCTCTCGCGCGCGTACGAGCGTGTAAGTCAGCATGATGTAGTAAGTCAACGTACCCTATTGATGTGCATGTGTACGTGTACGCGCGTCTGTGTGTATCTGTACGAACCGTGGTCAGCGTATCTGGGTACAGTCGCGTAATCAGACCGACGAAATTGTCAATGACATGTGACTTTGTAACGCCAAGATGACGCTAAATTAACGGAAAAGTTATCGCGTTCGAATTCCGCCGATTTTCCGCGCAAACGTTGTTTGCAAGCAGTCTTACACGAACGATAAATTAGATGTAGCATGTCGTTCAACGAGAATTAGCATTAGTAATGTACGTTTTAAGTAGATGCCTTATTTTTCAGCGAGACAACGAACTTTCGCAAAGCGTTGAAACCGCGCTATTTACACGAACGAGCACAGACATGTAGGAGGGACCTTGATACCTCGCGATACTTGGGTCGTCTCTGTGTCATCCGACAACGTCATTGAATAAATATTTTTCCCCGCGAGAAGAGAAACCTCACTCGAAAGTATTGTCCAGCGTCTGTCGGCTTGCGAGTGAATGACCCTATTTATCGGTGCGTTATGTATTTTTATCGCGGTCGCCTCGCCCTAGTTATTTATCGCTGCTCTCCTCGCAGTGGATACGGAGAGTCGCGAGACACCCGTCCGTTTCTCTCTCGCGAAGCGGAAGATAATAGAAAAAGACACGTACGCATGCGCACATAATGTATGCGTGTAGAACGGAGGTGAAAAACATTTTCTTTTTTTTTTTCATCTCCGAGTCGCGAATTCAGAGAAAATTCACAAATTCAATGTGTCAGCCTCTCACCTGTAACTCGTTGACGAGCTTCTCCGTGAGGGTGGCGTCATGGGAGTCCTGACTGGTTGCGCCTGGACTCAGCATGGAGTTCTGTGAATTCTGCTGTTGAGTGCCCGACATGTTCATACCGGCGAGACCACCGTTCTGCGCGATGGTGCCGGCCATGTTGAGCGCCTGCTGTTGCAGATTCTGGGTGAGATTTTGCGCTTGTTGTAGATTCTGCGTAAGATTTTGCGCCTGTTGTTGCAACGCTTGCTGGTTAAGCGCCTGGCCAAGGTTCTGCGTGAGGTTCTGCGCCTGCTGCTGTAGCGTCTGGGACAAATTCTGCGCTTGACTTTGAATGTTCTGTTGCAGGCTTTGACTCGCTTGGCTTAGATTTTGCGGTTGATTAAGCAATTGCTGTTGTTGTTGCGGCGACAAACTCGGCGTCAAACTCTGCGCTAAGTTATGCTGTAGGGTCTGTCCGAGATTTTGCTGCATGTTTTGCGTGAGCGCTTGTGTTAGCGCCTGGCCCAGATTCTGATTGAGCGCCTGAGCCGCCTGAACAGCCTGGACCGCTAACGATGGACTCGATGCCTGCGACATCGTTTGTTGTGCCTGGGCGAGACTGTGCAGACTCTGGGCCATACTGGAGGCAATGGCGCCCTGATGATCCGCCTGTGGCGACGGCGTCGTCGGTGCCGGGGAAGACTGATGCTGTGGGCCCTGATTAGCCTGGCTCATCGACAATGCATGCTGCTGTTGCTGCTGCTGCATCTGTTGTTGAGGACTTGCCGTTTGGCCGAGTGTCGCGTTCGTGTTCTGCTGCACTTGCGAAACCGCAGCCTGCTGCTGTTGTTGTTGCTGCTGCTGCTGCTGTTGCTGTTGCTGCTGCTGCTGCTGTTGCTGCTGCTGCTGCTGTCCGAGCGGACTGTGCATCTGCTGGACTTGCTGCTGGTGCTGCGTCGAATTCGAGATGGGACTATGCTGTATCCCGGGTGAATGTTGAGGCGGACCGCGTTGCGGCTGCTGCCAATAGTCCGACATCTTAAATACGTGTTGGCGTAACGCGTGGAGGTTCGCGGCTGCCGCGGTGACAGCCGAAGCTTGAATCTCCATCGGTTCGGAATCGTTTTCAAGGTCGGGCTCCGGCGAACTGCAAGGATCCTCGTCCTCCTCCTCGTCCTCCCGCTCGGTGATGTCCTCGTCTTCCTCGTCGTGAATTCTTGTGGACCGGTCCGGCTCGGGTCCGGGCGGTCCTCCGCCAGCAACAACAGCAACACCACCGGCGTTTCCGCCGCCACCGCCACCTCCTCCACCGCCACCTCCGCCGCCGCCGCCACCTCCTCCACCGCCGCCTCCTCCTCCACCTCCTATCCCACCCCCCGAATCGCCAGAGTGGAGATGATTCCCCGGGTGATGCTGATGATGATGCTGCTGTGGCAGGTGATGGTGAGGACGCGACTCTGGATTTTGGTTGTGCTGCTGCTGCGGATGCTGCGGCTGCTGCTGGTGTTGTTGTGGCTGCTGCTGTTGCTGCTGCGGCGGTTGCTGTTGTTGATGGTGATGCTGCGGCTGCTGGTGGTCTAGCTGGCCGAAGTCTGGTTGGGCTTGCGTCTGGGCACGCAGGTCCAGGGCCGCCGTCGCGTCCGAAATTTTGAGGCCTTCGCGAGAAGCCCGGGCTACCCCCTTCCGGCGCAGCTTGCCCGCTTTTTCGCACCCCTTCCGGTAAGCAGCTCGACGGCCGGCACACCTCTGCGCTCGCCGCCGTTCCTTCCTACCTTTCTCCTCGCTCGGACGCTGTTTTCAGCCTCGGGATCGTCGTAACGATAACGATCCTCGCGCCGTGCCGAGCTTCGACGTGGGCGGCGGGCAACGTCAGTTACTCGCCACCTGCTGCGACTTCCCGGCCCTGCTACCTACCGCCTGGCTCATGAAACTTCCTCTTATGATTCCTTCACTCCCTCTTCCGGGTCCTCTCCCAGATCTCTTCTTCTCTATCGCGCCTTCCCTAAGTCGTTGCTGTCGCTGTCGGCTGTTGCGATGCCTCTCGCGAGAACACCGCCGATCGGTGATTGTACGTCCGTAATGCGTCCTTTATCGTGATGACTTCTTACGCTGCTGGCTGTTATACCGCGTACGTATATGCGTTCGTTCGCGTTTCGCGGTCGATGGTAGTCCTCTTCTTTCTTCTCTTCTTCTTCTTCTTCTTCTTAGTTTTCTCCCCCTCCTCTGTGTGTCATATGACTGTGTGTGATAAATGTATTTGTGTGTGTGTGCTTTATATGTGTGCTTTGCGTGAGTTGTTGCGCGCGCGAGCGAACGTTCTCCAGGAAATAGGAGAACGGTCTATTTTCCTTCGTCTATCTAACTTAAATTCTAGCGTACACTTAAGTTCAGGTTAAAATTCAGGATTGCCCAGCCCGGACGGTGTAAACGAGAAGGATAGTCCACGCGGACGCGAATCGTTTATCGGTCGGAAAGGCTTTCACTCCTCTTCGGGGTGAGAAATCGCACTCGCGGATGATTACTGCTCGTCCCGTTTTGCCCTGAGTATTTTAGCCCCGTTATGTTGGATGTGCGTGCGTGTTGTGTGTGCGTGCGTGTGTGTGCGTGAACGCGCTCGAACAGGCTCGAAAAGTTGGTGTCTGCTGTCGCGCGCGTCGGCTTGAATCGGTGAGTTCGTGTGAATTCTTTTAAGCGGGACGAGAGCGTTTCTCTCCGGGATTTCCGTCACTCCGTTTCTGCTTCTGCCTACTTCCTCCGATCTTCTTCTTCTGTCAAGCTGCTTCTGTGTCGCGTCCGTCGATGACTCCTCCTCGAAATGCGACTCTAGCGTTTTAACTCTTTAAAAGGAATTCTATTCGATTATCGATCACCGCTCGTCGTTACCGATATCGTCGATGGTAGTTGTGGTTGCTTTTTATTATCGTTTAGGTTTAATTAATATTGCACTTAGGTACACTCGTTTTTTGAACACACTGAAATATATATGTATGAGCGCGGGGTTCTCTGTCGAGCTTTTTTCCGATTCTTGCTCTTTCTTTCTCTCTCTCTCTCTCTCTGTCGCTCTCTCTTTCTTCCGATCTTTGTCTCTCTGTACTTCCGTAGCTCTATTCTCCTGATCTTTCTGTCCTCTATCTCCTTCCTCGCTATCTTCGGATACGCACGATCAACTCGCTAATCACTTTCTTCTTTGCAACCCCGCTTCTACTCGTTCAGCTCTCGGTCTTACGCTCTTCTGCTCTTCTGCTTCTGCTTTGCTCGTCTTATTCTGCTTCTTCCGCTTTGTCCAGTCTTCCTCTCCTGCGCGGGAATCTCTCGCTGCAACGCGTCTCCCGCTCGAAGCTGCAATCCAGAAAAAGAAAATACAATTTTTGCGTTGTCCGCAAACGTCACGTACGACGAACATTCAACATCACACTATCATTTTTTCAATGTCATAGGCAACCGTTTCACACGCCTTTGCTTGCGATCGGAAAAGTAAGTCGTCAAACGTCAATCAGAGACGTACGTCTCTTCAAAAGTATTCGATCATTCAAAGGTTGTCACAATTCACTGTGACTCTCGGTAGGTATAATATTAATTATAAGATCTGATTATAAATCCGATAATATTAAGATGTAAAATATCTTGACTAATTCCCGGTACGTGAGCGTAACGTTATTTAAAACATTGATTTTTGCTAGATGACACTGCCTAAAATCAGCTGTCGTAGCGCGAAAATATCGAGTGTCGAGTAATGCGACGTGAATCGAGTTAGAAGAATCCTAATATAATTTCACGATATCAGAAAGATATCAGCCGCGAAATTTTATCATCTTATAGCGAGGTAACGTTAAATGCTATTCTCTTTCGGCTGACGTTTATGAAGGGTTTACACTTCCGGCCGCGACACAAACAATAATTTTAACCAAGCACTGTCAGAAGCACGCACTAATTACGCGACATAGTAAATTTCGTCCATTTGACACATCCAGCTCTCATGTCGATAATTTAACGTGTTACACAAATTCATACCCTCCTTTTAGTTACACCGACTGTCGTTGACGCGGAATTTCCAATTAGTTTTGCATTTTAGAAAAATCAATCGGTTTCAATGCGCGAAAGCAAAAAGCGTCTTTTGCCGTCGCATGCTGCACAGCACTGACAATACGAAAAAGATGCGGAATATGTAATGTAAAAATTCAGGATCGGAGTATGGAGAACTGAAAAGGTTTGTAACTGAAAGAGAGTAACGTGTCGATGGATCAAATATTTATTCAAATAAAAGTAACGTCAATATAACAATGAGCAATAAATCAGAGTATAGTGAATAGGATAAAAATAAAATGTTCCGGAGCACTGAATATTCTCAGGAATGTAAAGTTGTGATTTACATTATTGTTGTAACATTACTACGAATAACGCGCGATGTCACATTATAACACTGCCGTTCACACGTAGAATTGCGTTCGCGATCTTTTTTTTTTTTTTTCCAGATTCTTGCTTTTTCGTTAAATCGAGAATTTATATCTTTGCCTCTGTTTCCCGAATTGTGTTGTAATTTTCCGATTATTTTCGAATATGCAGTTAGATCTTTTTTCGTAAAGGCTGTCTGTCACTGAACGATGAATATGGTCGACGCGTTGACGACGATGTCAATGAAATGCCAAATAATTTGTTGCAACGTGCGCCAGGTTTACACGACGTGACGAGCATTGTCGGCTGCTCGCTGAATTAACGGCCCGAAATGATCACGCACGCGGATATTCGCATAATCGCTAACTCGTTTACTCGCGACATGACGATTCGTTACGTTTATTGTTCGCCGTGTAATTTCGCGATCGCAAGCATCAAGCTGATGATTCGCGTGACCGATTTCGACGAGGTTTCGAGATAGCTGCGATTGAGCTTCCGTTCGTCCTTTTCTCAGTCTGCCTTCTCATCATTCGCTTCCCCGCGATCTTACCGAAGCACATCGTATCACACCGGAAATCGAGAGGGGATCGGAGCGTGTGCGATCGCGACGAAACACTGTCGAGACGGCGACGATGACGTACCGGGCATGTCAGGATTCGGAACAGGGAATAGGAGGGGGTGGTCAGTATGGTGGTCTCGGACCGAAAGTGGGGAAAACTGACTAAAATCATAAAGTGGAAAAAAGAAGGAAATAACAAGAGAGCGTTGGATGTATCAACGAAGCTGATAGATGCACGATCGCGCAAAGTGTCGTTACGTTCACACAACTCGCGACACAAGATTGGTTGAACAGAATATATTCCGAGAGAAAGAATCCGAAGGATCTCTTACTGGAGAGATCCAAGTGCGGATGATAGACGGACAGATGCGGCGGCTGGTATGATGGTCGGTGATAGAGTATACGCGTAATACGATCGTTGCACCTCGGCTGCTCGCGACCTTCGTGCACGGTATCGGCCAAGACACTGTTCTTCCTCTTCGAAGGACGACGACGGTAACGACAACGACGACGACGACGAAGACGACGATGACTACGACGATGTACGACGGGGGGAAAAAGCTCTCTCCTCTTCCGCGTTCGAGTCCTTGACGGAGGAGGAACCGAAACTGACTCGGGTCTGCGGCTCGCGAGAAACGCTAAGTCCTTCTCCGTCGGGGGTCGGTGGTGGCGCGCTTCTCAGACCGCGTGCGTCTGACTAAAAGCCACCCCCTCGTGCCTTAAAGAACGCGTGTTCGGGTAGGGGCGTTGTCTTAGGTGGTGCGCGGCCGCGAAATTTCTGGCCACCTCGGGGCGCCTTCGCCGTACGCCGTTTCTTACCGCGACGATCTCGTACGCGGGTCCGACGGGCCCGGGCGCGGGCCCAGGTTACCGTGGACCGACTCGTGACCCCGGCCGCGTCCACCCACGACGAAAATCTACCTCCGGGAGGACGAAAAACTGAGGCCGTCGTAGGACAGGAGTTTTCAAGCTACCCCTCTTTTCCTTTGCCCCCACCAGACACGACGCCGAGGCGCGCGCTCTATCTCCCCCTTTTCCTCAAACTCTCCTCACCCTTCACCCCGCGCCCAGGTGGGTGGGGGATTCTCCGCCGCCGACTCCGCCGACGCCTCGTACGGGGGTAAGCGTCGTAAGGGATGAGAGAAAGAGAGTGGGGCCGCTCTCTCTCTCCGTCTCCGTTTCGCCCGGCCAAGAAAACCCTCTCGGAAGGAGGGTAGGAGTGAGAGTCGTAAGAACCGATTATCTGTCTCTGTCTATTTTGATCGCTATCTTATACTCCGCGGTTACGTTCCGGCGTACGTAAGTACGCCGCGAAGCGGGCAAGACGAGAGCGGGCTCTTGGACCCGCTATATACTCTTTTTGCTATAGGTATGTCCTTGAAAACTTTTCACCCGACCGCGTCGCGGATCATCGCCGTCACGTAAACTCACTTAAATTTTCACACAATCCTCCCTCGCGCGTATTAACGATTTTTCATTCAACGCGGCGAGTATACAAGTCTTACATGCGGACGCTACGAATCGGGGTATTCGACTGACCGAAAAATTGTAGGGGGCTTCTGTATAAGGGGGTGTAACAGTCTGAGGTACGAATAAAAAAGAAGGGGACCATCGTATAAAAATGGCCTCCTCCCTCGTCGTGTGTGTTCCGTATGGCAACGCACGCGTGACTAATCGCGGGGGAGTGTGGGGTAGGCATTCTTTTTTATCCCTCTTTACGAATCGCTCAAGTACATTGTTCTCGATCGTATTCTCGCGATATTAATACGCGAAGTTCGCTCGTAGCTCACGATATCACTTGATTAAGTGTCGCAAATCCATCGATCGGATTGGGAAAGCGGATTCGAATAACATCAAATCACTTTGGTCATCCGTCATCCGACACCCTCCCCTCCGCATCTCATTTTGAAAGTCAAATCGCGATTTAAACATGGATCATCGACCTTGCGGAGGACGTCGACTTTCCAGTGAACGCGCTGATGCTCATTTCGCGGCGAAGGGTGGTCGATGGTCATCCTGCTCGTCTTACGCACCCTCCTCGCCGAAGTAGACAACCAAGCTATCCCTTCCTTCCCTTCTTCTCTCTCCCTCCCTCCTACCCTCCCTCCCTCCCTCCTCCTTCCTTTCTCTCTCTCTCTTTCTCTCTCTCTCGAGCTCTCATCTAACATAGCTTCCCCACCATCGCATTAAGCTCCTATTTCTCCCTTCCCTGCTAACGTCTTTCCCCTCTCTGCTCGCGCCTTCGTCTGTGTCTCTCTCTTACTACCGATTTTCGTAGCTCAACCTCGCTTACGCCACCCGACACCCTTTCCTACATCCTTTTCTCTCCCTTCTTTCCCTCTCTTTCTCGGCCGCCTCGACTCCCCACCAACCGGGCAACCCCCACGCGTCGCATTTTTACGCTGGCCTCGTCCTTTTTTCCACGTGGTATACACGTGGAGGTATGAGTCCGGAAGGTGGGGAGGCGCGACCCCTTTTTTTCTTTACCCTGCCTCTAGTATTCACGCGAGAGAGCCCCGCTGGTCGTCCGAGACGACGCAATAACGCGTCCACCCTTTCGTAATGTTGTCTCTCTTTCTTCCCTCGGTTAGAAGAGCAGCGGTGTGACGGCGGCGGCGGTGGCGGCGGCAAGAAAGGAGCAAAGAAAAGAACGTCGCGTATCGTCTCGTCGCATCCCTCCACTCATACTCATATCGTGTCCACCCTATCCGTGTTTCTTCCAACGCGCGTGCGACGAGGGTGGACCGTCACGCGAAAAAAAGTGAGCCAATGGGGCCGCCCCACGATGGTGGAAAAATCGAGTGACCTTCGTCGCACGTGCAACGCCACGCGCGCGGCAACTTTCTTTGTCAACGCGATGGACCATCGAAAAGTGTCTTTCGCTTCTTAAAGAGATATTCTACGACGACTGTATATCTTTGATGCAAGATTATAATAATATACATATATATGTATATATACACACGTAGTACACTTTGCTCATATATGTCAGAGTGCAGCTAAAAAGAGGCAGGCAATTAATGCAGGCTCGTTAATTCAATTTAATTTTACTTTACTTCTTAAGCAATGTCTTTCGCGATTAATAATCTTTTTCACGTACAATTTTATAAGTCACAAAAAGAGAAGTAAAATAATTCTCTTCAGAATTATCAATTCTTTAGAACATTAGTAACGAAAAAAGCATTTAACAGATAAAACGTAATTCGTCTTGATACGATTTCGTAATAAATAGAGGCTGCTTAAACAGATTTATTGCGAATTTTGCAAAGCTCGAACGCAAAAATATCCAGTTTATCGGACGCTGAACCGGAAAGTAGGAACAGGACGAAAGTAACGCACTTCCGACACGAGGGTCTCCGGCACGAAAGTGCCCGGGCGCGATCGCGATCGAACTTCCGTTCGCGGCAGGCTGCTGCCGTGGTAAGAATTTCGGCTCGGCTCGGCTCGCGGGTAGAGAGGAGAGGGACTCGTTTCGTACGTCCGCTATGCGCGAGTGTGCTCCTCCGGAGCTCTGAAAATAAGTACGTAGAGCGCATTGGGCAATCGAGGCTCACTTTAAATTACAAATGAAGCGGCCGGCGTACGTGAGGATAAAAACAGGTGAGAATCGAGCCTCCGCGCTCGGTTATGGGGTGGGTGGATTGTTAGGTACACATATACGCCTCCACTTAGACGTGTGGGTGTATGCCGTTACGAGTCACTGTACCGTACATACGTGCATGCGTACGTAACGCACGTACGCTCGTACATACGTTACGTACGTGGCGTTTTAGATCTCAATCCCGATCCCGATTCCCCCTTGATCCCGATCGGCAGCTGGACTTCAAGAACGGACGTACAGACGGATACTTGCTGTGTACGAATTGTTGCACGTGCACTTGCAACTCTGACGGCCAGTTGTCCGGCTCCGCGCCGCTGTGAATCGAGCCGATCGACTACCCCGATAGGACGTATACGCCGTTGCGTAGGAAGGCATTTGTCTTCTCTCGGTCTGATCCTACCTACTTTGCGAGATTGTCCGCCTTCTTCATCGCGAATGGCGGGGGAGTGTGCGTGGAAATGTGTCGACGAAGGTGGTCGTCAGGTGGTGGAAACGACGTCGGGATCGTATTTGTTACTTCGTATCGCATGTGTCTTCCGAATTTTTAGACCCACAACAGGAACGAGGAGAACGTTTATTTTTCCGTTTCACAATTAACGATGAAATTTTATTAATCGAACCCTCTCAAATGCTCCCTCGTGAATAGAAAATAAATGTAAAAATGATAGCGAGTGCCAATATATAATATTCGACGTGTTAAGAATTTTATTGAAAAACGGATAGAGTTATTTGACACGACCGATTAATACGACCCGATTAAATATCCGTTTTCAATTTTCATATTCCTTTAACGCGTCTGTCACGTAAAAAGATTTCCAGCGCAATAATTTGTTCGGACGGTCTTTTCGCGGAGCATTCGTTTGCTGCTCGTGTGAAGTAGCCCCGTCTCAACCCCTGATCGGAAGAACCACCCCGTGGCGAGGTGACGTCTGGCGGCGGAATAAGGAACGAGGAAACGAACGAGTGGAGAAAAGGGTGAATTGTCCTAAGGTTTTTGTCCGTGCTAACTCTGGTAGAATATCGATTACGGTGAAGCGACAATGGTAAATGCGAGCAGATGTGCGATCACATAATACACCCAGTTGTACAAAGAATCGGATGATATATTATCAAAATAAAATTTAAATAACATGATAATTTCGCGAAAAATATCTAACAATGAATAAAAAAAAAATAAAAAAAATTCTTTGTAGAGTTTTTAGATATTTTTTAATTTTTGTTTTTTTTTTTTTAAATCGCTTAAAATTTACATGAAATGAATAATGAGATATCACTGAGCAATAAACCGGTGTAGTTCCAGCGAGTTCAAATTCAAAATTTGTAAGATGCAAAAAGGAGACATCTGTGTTTGTTGTTGTGTGACAACGGAAGTGCTAGATTAATCATACGGATCAAGAATTATGGTTCGATTTACA